CTCAACGAGTCCTTTTCGGCATACTGAACGAAGTCTATTTTCAAAAAATTTCGATAGCATTTTCTAACGTATACCGAAAACATTTTTAAAGAAGCTCAAGTTCGGATATCTGGCTTCTGTGAAACTCTTATTTTCAGCTCTGAGAAGTGGATAATTCCATTGCACATCCTTGCTCTTAAGTTGGTCCTAATACATGATGAGATATGTGGAGAACACGAGATACGTCCAAAAATCTTTCCGCAAGCAATGGATCGAATATGAAGCGGTTGCCACAACTCCTGCTTCAGAACGCGCCACGCACGCAGCTGTGGTTCAAAATTGCGAAACCATTTGCAAGTCTATTACTTCTTGCTATGACATGTGAAAGCTAGTAGTCCCACCTTGTCGTTTTATTACGCCCGGACCGCTGACCCTGCTGAGAATTCGTTCTTGTTTCTGGCTGGGACAATTAGGAACAGACGATTAGAAGCATAAAAGTATTGAACACATACCACAAACAATCGAACTAATCTTATGAACAAGCAGCCAATAACAGGAATGTCAATTCAATGTACGTGAACTTCTATAAAAATACGGTCATCGGATTCTGCCTGAGCAAAAAGACACAACTCGACAACTCGACGTCGAAATCACAGAAACAACGAGGATGCCTCTTTACACTACGCAAAGAAAGTAGGAATATATTTCAAATAAAATAGTTAGGTTTGAGTAAAAACATAGAAATTAGAAATTTTTAGGGGGAATAATCAAAGAATTAGTTCGACTTCCGTTTCGCACGTGCCCTTAGACGGAAGCCAAACTGGAAAAATACCCTCCCTCCGTGCTCTTCAGTAAGGAAGGGAGGAAAAAGCGTTGAATGAGCATAATTTATATAGTTGGCAATAAACTATTAGAAAAACGTAAAAGTATGATTGAACTCTGTAATGAATGTGATACTAAGTAGGGATGTTATCGGCTATCATAACTTGATAAATTTCAAGTTCAAGACCAAGCTAGTTCTTGACGACTACAATCACTGTGTACATCAAAACTTGACAGATTCATTTTTTACAATCTTCAGTTTCCAAGAAAAACTACTACAGAATCCCAAAAGCAGTAAGTATCAAGTAGCAGTAAGTATAGTGATGCATACGGCAATGTTTTCCTTTGAAA